CAGGTTTTTTTTCAGGTACCTTTTTGATCAGCACATTGTTGTTCATCTTGATGTCAATGTTGACAGGGGTTGTTGGGAATGCCTCAAACACCTCCTCCAGGAGGGGGATCCGGTTGTCCTCCCCCTCACACTGACACTCTGGGGAAACAACACACTTGTCACTGCTCAGGCCACTTTTAATAAAAGCTGAGATGTCACAGCACTCCTCACCTTAAAACTTTAAAAAGTATGGGGTTATCACATTTTTAAACAACAAAAAAATTACTTTATTCGACTGAAATTATGACAAGTTCATTCCCATAATGAAAATGCCCTGAGTATATTGCATATTTAGGTTTTAACTTCATGAAATTCAGACGTTATTTAGCAACAGTAGGAGTGCAGGCAATGCTAAAATCCTGAAATAGCAAACACAGCCTCAGTTACCACACACCAAATGCAACGAGATTAATATGAAAAAACACCAAATGAGAACAAAATTTCCTTCTGAGCTTAAAGTCTTACCCACAGTAACTACTGTGCTGGTTTCTAAAGCTGGGATTGTATTTTACTTTTAAAACCTACCATGATGCTGATAGAAGAAAAAAACACTTTTATACTACAAAATAGGAAACTGCCATACTATAAAATGGAAAATTAGTTACTGTGAATTGAACCAGCAAGAGATAAACTCACCTTTCTGAAATGTGACATCCAACTTGCAGAGGTACCGTGGAAGTTCCTTAAAAATAAAGGGAAATGGAACAGTAATTAAAATGCAGGGATGTAACCCTGACCTTCTCCAAAAAGGCCAAAAAAAACTATAATTCATAAGCCATTTATCTCTAAAGGCAAAAATAATGCTTTTTTTAGTATCTTCTCACCAAAGAAGTGATTTAGTAGCAGCACATTTGGTATTACTTGAATTACTGGCCTTCTTAGATTTGTGTTACCTGCAGCTGAACAAGGCAAAACATTTCCAGATGCCTTCCTGAAAATTCTGAGAATTCCACTTAGATATCAGATGGAAAGTTCTGTAAGACAGAACTTTTACAGATGGGATCCATCTACCAGTTGTCCCAGTAAAAATCTGGTCATACCAGGAGCAGCTTGTTGAGTTACCTCGCTCTGCCATCAGAACAGGCCCAGCTCCAGGGAGCCACTCATCCCACCACAGGGGTTCATCACCCTCTGGAATGGGCCAGGTTTGAGCCTCTGACTGCACAGGCAGTTTGGTGAACTTTGGGTTGGTTTTGGTAAGACAAGGTGAATCCTGTCCTTTGGTTTTGGGGACCAGAGACACACACTCACACAGAACCTTCCTGCCCACCCCTGCCTCTCTACAAACTCATTTTTAAGCATCTCCCACCACATTTTCTGCTCAACTCACAGAGTATTTGAGGTCAGAGATGTTGACATCCACTCCTGTGGATCTCTTCAGGTTCTCATCATGGGACACAACCACTTGCTCATCCTTAGTCAGGTGACAATCCAGCTCCAGCATGTCTGTTCCTAAGTTAACAGCACTGCAAGAAAACACACGTGTGCTTTGTCCACGTCCATATCCAACATGTCATCCCATAAACTGATCCCACTGGAAGCACTTCAGATGCTTTGTGATGCAATGGATCCTCAAAAGCTTGCTGCAAACAACTCTGCTGCAGTGGGAAGCTGATGCAGGAATAAATAATAAATCAAAGATGGGATTTGAACACGGGAGCTTTGGCTCCATCTTCCATAGGAATCAGCCTGTGGAAGCTGTGGATTGAGAAACCTACTCCTAAAGTATTCTTTCAGAATTTGGAGTGTGATGTTCATTAGTGGCAGCACATTTAGCACTGGAGGAAGTGAGCTGTTGCTTAAGAAAGTAATCAAATTTGTGGTAACAGAAACAACAAATGACAGGGATGTGAAAGCCCTTTTTTTTTTTTTTTTATAAACTTGATTTCTGTCCATTCCTGATTAATGAATCAGGAAATTAGCTGTAGGACTTTCAGGCTCTTGGCTTTTTTGGGTAGCAAAACAACCTTAAAAAATTATCATTTTAAAGGAAAAGTTTTAATTTAAAGAGAAATGAACCACTAAAACATCCGGTCATATTTTTAAATAAAAATAGCTATTCCTGTTCCAATCCACTGCTTTGAGAAGTTCTAATCCAATCCCAAATCCACTCCACAGTAGCTTGGCTCATAGGAGGAGTAAAGCAAGCAGGGAAGTGGCAATAACACTGAGGAAAAACAAGCACAAGAAAGCTCACACTAGAACAGAAAAACTAACCTTTACTGCAATGAGAAGGGAATGGCTCATTTAATTAGAAAAGATCCTCAGGAGGTGTCATTCCAGCAGACAGATAAAAGTCTGAACACTTCCTTCCAAACCCTGGGCTGTTCTTTTTATCCACCCATGGGCAAACCTGCAGCCCCTCTGAGCTGTGCCCACGTGGGACCCAAAGCTCTGTGACTTCAGTGACAGCCTTTTCCTTATGGGATTTATTGTCTCACAGGCCTTAAACATTCACAAATGCAATAAAAACCAACCAAACCAACAAAAAAAATCAGAACATACCCCCTTAAGTGTTTAACACAATTTCTGGTCCAGCTGGGATAACGATCAAGAGGAAGGTTGTCAAATTAAAACCAATTTGTGAATTGTTTTCCAGTGCTGCTAATTAAGAATCAGGAGAGGAACAAAATCCTGTTACATATGGAAGAATCACAGGCTGTTCTGGGTGATTTTTTTTTTTTTCCTCCTGAGGAAAAGCATCTCCAAATCTGCTGCAGGAGATCTGCCAAACTGGGAGAAGATGTTCCCATCTAGTACCACATATTATCATTTAACCAGCAAAATTTATTAGAAATATTGGGGCTTGAGAAAGGCAGGGCTGGTGGGAAAGAGGAGAACAACAACTTTCCTTGTTAACAAATTTGGGGATTTGCCAGGCCCTCGCTGCTAAATCAGCTTCCTGAAGAGCTGAGCTTTTCCAGCTGGAAATCAGTTTGTTCTGCAGCTCTGTAATAACATGTCAAATCCACACTGCTCCAGAGAAGGCTCCACATTCAGAACCTCATGTGGAGTCAGATCCAGCTGCTCCAGAACTCCAGTGGTGAAGGAGGCTCACATTTGCAAATTAGGATGAGAGTGCTCTTGCTTGAAATTAGTTATTTTAAAATCTAAAACCAGCACAGACTCATTTAAATGCAGTATAACATGATTACTGTCCCCCCTCCCCCCCAAAAATAAAAAAAAAAAAAATCTATCAGGCATTTTATCATGCAAACCCATAAATATAGTTGTCTCTGGTACAAGAAGCTTTTATTTGATTTCCAGGATATTTGTAAATTAAGCTAATATAGAACTGGAAATTGCCAATAAGGCCTCCTCCCCCCATACACTTTGTTTCTAGACTACTAAAATAATGTCTTCATTATCATGCAACAGTATTAGATAATCTCTAATCACTGTTAAAGTGCAAATAGCATAAATAAAGCTCTTGTCAGTACTTAGATGACTGTCATTAAGGTAAAACCAAGGGCTGCAGACACACATTCTCTTCTGGATTCAGCTACAGCAATAGCCAAATATTCCTGCTTGTCCAAACCTGCAGGAGCAGCTCCTGCAGCCACACCCTGTTTGTATTCACGTAAAATCCGATGGATTATAAATCCATCAGTTCCCACCAGCCCTCTGAGCCAATCAGGATCATTTTCCACCATCCAGATCAGTGATTTTCTACCCCATTCCTTTTGCTTGTGGAGATGGGAATGAGCAGATGGGAAGGACAAAGGTTTTGCCCCTTCACTGAGGGAGCCAGAATTTCTACTGCCTAAGACAAGGTAATTACTCTGACTGCTTGTCTGGCTCTGAACTTTGCTATTGGCACCTGTGATGAGTTCAAAAACTGGACCTCAAAGGATTTGTTACACTACAGCTATAAAATAATTAAAGTGATCAGAAGAGAGTCAGATAAAAGACTGTATTATCACATAGACTCCTAGCACAATCCTTGCTCCAAGCACTACAGCTTATTTCTGGGAATGAAATAAAAGTAATTCAAGTGTAACTTCCCTTGCAAGAGCCCTTCATGTAAAGAACCAGCATGATATTAAATGAAAATTAAGAAATGGTTAAAAAAAAAAGAAGAAGCACTTCCCAGAAAGGCTGGTAGCAGACTTGAAGAAAGGCAGGCCAGCAGGAAAAAAAGAAAACCACACAAAACTATGCTGGGCTTCCATGGAGATAGAAAAATAGTGCAGCACTTTCTTTTCTTTGGTTGGGAGAGCTGGCACTCCTCAGGCTGCAGGGAAACAGCAAACTGATGAGGCCACTTAGCACAAAGCAAATTATAAAACCCCAAAGACAACAAAGAGAAGCCCACATAATTTTGTCCCTTCTCATTAGCAGCTGGAGTTTGAGATATGCTCCTTTTTCAAATGCCTTTGAGGACCTTATTAGAATTCACTGCTTAAATGCTGGAGGCTTAAAAGGCTTTCTGGTACCAACCCCATTTTAAACCCCTGGGTAAGAGGCTTTCACACGTTGCGTGACTGAAGTGTATGCAGGGGAAAAAAACATGACATTTTGAGCTTTATAATGATAAATAAACTAACAGGAGTAATCATTATTAAACACAGAAGCAGCATTGTTTCCTGTTTTATGAGCTAGCACAGGAGATCAGGCCCCAGGGGTTCTATTTCCATTTGTTCCTGTGTACAGATCCTAATTTGTGGTATCCCAGCTCCTCCTGGTTTAAATGGATATTTGGCAATCCACAGGAGTCATCCAAAGGAGAGATGGCTTTCAGAAATAGGACACTGCACCCCAAAGAGCTGATGGAATTCCCACCTTCCTTGATTGCTTCACTCACTAAAGACACTGAGAACACCTAATTTAGGATTATAGCTTCCTTTTGTACTCACTGGTGAAAGGCTGCCATTGTGTTTTCCAGGTTCTCTCCAGCACCTACAGAAATAACAGAAATAAAACATGTATAAAATCCTTTTCCTCCCCTCCACCCCACTGAAAATAAATTTTAAAACCAAATGGATTTTAAACATGCATATATTTTAAGGCAATATTAGGGGGAATGAGTATGAAGCTCGAGTCAGAAATCCCCGTTGCCACCAACCTACTGGAGAGACAGGACCTTCTCAAGGTAAAACAATTAAAAACAGAAAGAAAAAAAAAAGATAACTTAGTTTGGATTTGTGTGACACTTTGAAAATACAAAACAAAGTGTTTGCTTTACCAGAGGTTCTTCCTCAAAGCCACTGTATTTGGCTGGGACAATGTGCTCCACAAAAAGTCTATTTGAGAGTTGATGGGAGGAATAACAAGAGGAAAAAAACTACAAAAAAAGCACCCAAGCCACTCTAAAGCTGATACTCCCTTAATGTATAACCCAGCTGATGCTCAAAGAGGTGACAACCTCTTTTTTTTCAGTGCAAGGATATTCCCCAAACAGCACAAATCTGTCAGTAAAGGTTTCTGCTGCTGGCAAAGGGAGATTTCCCACAGGAGGAATATGAAACACATCAGCTGTTAATAAAGGAAAGGACAGACAAATAAAGTTCTCTCTCAGGCAGGAGTAAACTCTGCAAACCCTGAGCCATCATTCTCTGCCTAAAAATCCTTATCAATCAGCCTGGTTAGGGACTGGAAAAGGTTGTGCCTTCTCCCTTCCTCAGAAAATTGGCAGTATCATAGATTGAAAAACAAAACCTCTGGAGGATGCACGTGCTGATGAGGATATCTATGCAAATTTTAACTGCTCTTTGACAGTAATGAATGACAGACTTTGTAAACAGCAATTACAAAAGCTCCAATTAAGGCCTTGCCTATTAACAAGACCTCACCAGGACATACTTACCCAAGCCTGTGTTCAGTTACTCAATGAAAGCAATGCACAACCAGCAATTTAAAATTGTTGTTCTCAGGTGAGCTCCCACTGGGAGGTTTACGAAAGGAAAGATTTTAACTCAGAACATAAAGGCAAAATCTGCAGGGTTTAACATAAAACAAGATGGTAAATCCACAAGAGCTTCTGTGGTCAGACATTCACCAATATTTTGTGCAATTTGATTGCAGAATTAGGAATTGTTCTGGGATAGGGAAGAACACAAAAACCTCATGGTATCCATGTGCTGATTGCCCCAAAGGTGGGAAAGCCCTGCACAGGCCCTGGATGCTTAGTTACCAATTAACTGCAATAATAACAGAGGTGTTTAGATAACTTATCAACTGTGGTAATACAGCCCCTACATCCTGAATTCTAAGAGAGGGAGGGAAAAAACCCGAGTCAGTCTTCAGTTTGTGAACAAAAGAATAATATCCTAGCATTCCTGGGCAGAAGTTTTCCAAAAATAAAACCTGAAGTGACTGATGCAACAAGTCACATGTGAGGGAGGTAGGTCTGGTGACTCAAAGGCCTGACTTGGGTCACTGAGGGGAAATGAGGAACAAAGTTGAGACATCAGCTGGAACAGGAATTCTAGATCAGCAAAGTGGCTTTCACAAACCACACCCAGCAGGAGGAACTCCACAACCCAGGGATGTGATGGACTAAATCACCTTCTATCCTGGGCTCACCAAAGGGCTTCTGACACCTCCTCAATTGCAGCTCCAGATCCCCGTGCTGTCACATTCCCAGTGAGGAACTGACCTTCCCCAGCATCCCGTGAGCCAGAACGGGAACATCCACTGCCATATTCCCACTCTGAAAGCACCACCATGGCCAAAGAGGGAGTCAGCACCCTGCACTGGCTCAAGGAGATGAACCTCAGAGGTTTTTGGGGTTTTCCCCCACAGGAGCCTGTTAGGAAGAATGCTGCCAGCAGGTCAAGGGAGGTGATTGTTCCCCTCTGCTCACACACCTGGAGGGATGTGTCCAGTTCTGGGCCCCAAAGTGCAAGGCACCCATGGATCTACTGGAAAAAATCCAGGGAAGGGCTGTGAGAATTAAGGGGTGATTCTTTTGTACAATGAGAGGCTGAAGGGGGTGGAATTGTTTTGCTCTGTTTGGAAAACAGAGGCCAGGAAGGATCCTATGATGTCTAAATACCGGATGGGAGGGAGTAAAGACAACTGAGCCAAACTCCTCTTGGTGGTGCCCAGGGAAAGGACAAGAGGAATGGGAACAACTTAAAATACAGGAATTTCAGTTTATAAACATAAGAAAAAAACCCTTTTTATTGCAAGGGTGATCAAACTCTGGAAGAGGCTGCCCAGAGAGGTTGTGGACTCTCCATCCTTGGATGTAGTCAAATCCTAACTGGATCAGGTCCTGGTCCACCTGCTCTGGTCAGACAAGATCATCTCCAGAGGTCCCTTCCAACCTCAGCCATTCTGTGTAAAAATCATAATCCTACCCTGTCTCAAAGACCCTTCAACCCAGGGCTGCTGGCACTGACAGAGGACTCTTAACACAGAATATCAAGATTTAATTATTGTTCTCAGAAATGACCGATTTTAAAATGATGCAGAAGTAAAGAAATAATTGAAGGACGATTCCACTGATGAGCTACGAAATAAGAAAACACTTGCACAAAGAAGTGAGTGAAATCAAAACCCTCAGACTTAAAATACTTCACGTGCAAGGTTTCATCTCAGAGAGGAAAAAGCCGAACAAGTTGAGTGTTATCTTGATCTCCCAAGTTAATTGGAGTAATGCAATGGGAAACCTGACACTGCTTCTAAAGCTACAGCATGACTAGAGCCTGAGGAGAACTTAAGTCCCACAGGAATTTATATTACAGGGTAAACACCCCAGAGAGTAAAGAGCAGGTGATCTTCAGCCTGGGCCAAGAGCTGCTGAGATGTTCAGGGCTGTGCTCCTGCCTGGGGTGGATTTCAAAGGATACATGTGGACACAGAACAGCCCACAGACCGTGGACTTTGCCTCTGAGTGCCTAAGGAATAATCCCCCCTTAAGTAAGGCTTTCCTGCTGTTCTAATGGAGCTTAGAGCAACTGGCCCAAACAGTTGCATTGGAGGCTTAGGGCTGTGTATCTTAACTAAGGGCCTTGCAAGGAAGTGAGAAGAAAGGATTAAGGAGTCCCAAGTCCCAACAAAGTCGCCTGCAAGTTTTTTACCGCTTGCAAATCACACAAACAAACAGGTAACACTTGAAATAAAGAACTTTGTTGCTTGAAGGAAAGCACATACCTACCAAGACACAAACAGTGTATGTATTCCACACCAAAAGGTGCATTTTATGCTATATTCGAAGACTATAAAGAAACTTAAACTGCTGTATAAATAAAAGGAAAGAAATGCCAGTCATAAAAACTATAAAGATCAACTCTAGTTTTTGTATTGTAATGATTCCAGGCAGAGCATTAGTTAAGGACCATTGTCTAGAACTGTGATCAACCCTTGCATAAACTGGCTCAGGATATGGTATTGAAAACTGTTTAAACTCAGCCTACCTCCCCCAGAATATAAAAAAAAAAATTACTAGAAAACCGACTATTTCCAGAGATTGAATGAAGCAGCAAAGAAAAGCACAGAACTGATCTTCACAGAACAGGAAAACACAACTTGCCGTATTTTTTTTTCCTCCCAGTGCTTCAGAAAAGGTGGAAGAAACTTTAAAAACCTGACTTAGCTATTGCAGACAGAAGCAGGGAGCCGACCCACAAGGCCTTGGCACAAGGAGGGGACGAGACTCTCAACCTGGATCGGTTTTACCAGGGCACTGAAACAGTCACTGCCTGCAACGCCAAGGGGGGCAAGAACAGAGCCACAGCAAATTGTGTTTCTCCTGAAAAGCAGAGAGCAAAGCAAACAGGAGGTCGGAGGAAAGAAAATTGATCTTTTGCGCCTCATCCAAGGCACAGCCAGAGGTGTCTCTCGTTAGGGAGAGAAAGAGCAGAATATAGACGCGTTAGAATTAAAAATATACGCGTTCGAGAGGGGAACAAAGCGAAACAAAGCTGATTTCGGCCGGCGCCGTTTGACTTCGGAGGTTAATTCGGCGCTGAGACGAAGCGCCGGTCAGCAGGTGGCACCTAAAATTAGGCTGCGGGAGGAAGGTTTAAAGGGAGCCCCACTGCGAGCCACGGGCACAGGGGCCGGGGAGGGAGAGAGCAGCATCCCGGGAACGTGGGGAGCACCGCCCGGGGGCCGCGGAGCCCTGAGGAGCCGCGCAGGGCGGGAAGGGTTCCCTCCCCTCGCCCTCCATCCCCCTCACTCACCGCCGCGGTGCGAGATGTGCCGGCAGCGAAAGCGCTGCCGCTTGGGCCGGTGGAGCAGCCCCGGGCACTTGAGGAGGAGCGCGGAGGTGAGGACGTATCCGCCCAGCGTGGAGAGCACGTAGAGCGTGGCCGACATCCTGCGGCTCGGGTCGGTTGCCCCCGTCCGC